TATTGGATATTCCTAGTTAATGGATACCCGAGAGAAGTAATACAAAGAAACATACTGGTCATGAAGGGACGATGGCAGGACGGGGATTATGAAAGAAAGATAAAGATTGAGAAAGACTCACAAAAGTGGATATGTCTTCCTTCCTGTGAGTTAGCTTAAAAACTACGGCCAGCAATAAGAAAATGGAATATTCAGGTGACCACGAGGGAAAAAACAACACTTCACAAATCAACCCACGCAACATGAGAAGGTAAACAAATGAGATTGCTCGGGAGTCTAATTCATAGCATGCGGAGCCTGATAAACACGGAGAAAAATCAGTAATGAACCAAGGATCAACAAAGTATCTGCAGAAAAATGGATACTTAAAGATCAGATAAAGTGGAACACATCGCAGAGACTGGACGCGTGATAATTTGCAAAGTAACAGAAAGAAGGGCCTCATGCGTTGAAAACCCAAAGAAAGGGAAGATTAAGGAGACCATTGACATCCTTGGGGGGAAAACAATGTAATGCAAAGGAGATTGGAAGACGGCAGAGTTGGTGACTATTGGCTAATGAAATTAGGTAAAAACAGGGACTCAACAAGAAGGAGCCTGGATAAGGGATCTATCCTAAACGAAAGGAAAAGGGATCGCAAGGAAGAAGAGGGCGAGAAAGTTTCGGAAATGAAGCAAAGATGTTCTCAGTGAATGTATTTACCTCGAATAAACAACTACAATTTTGGGGGTCTGACGTTTTACGTGACTAGGAAGAAGGATTGAGCCACAGAAATAGGGTATTATGACCAAATTGACTAATAATTCAATTGAGATGCAGCTGGCGACCAGAGATAGATGTCCCAATTTTTCTCAGAGTACACGGTTTTAATCCAAAAGATAATGCGTGAATGTAATGCCTAATATCCTCAAACATGGGAATCAGAGCCTATGCGCTCTGCAGATGAGGCGACTTTGTAAATGCTACCGAAGGCTTAAGAAATACCATCTGCACGAGAAGTACATTGGGGCTGGAAGCGAATGAAATCGGTCAACCAGAAAGATATGAAACGGACCTAAAGGCCCATGAGGCAGATTCGGACAGAAGGCTAGAGTCGGATCAGCCACTCGAAAGGAAGGGGAGCAAATTAAACAGCAAGTGTGATGACACCACGGGTGATAGCACAATCGTTTTGACAGAAAGTTGGTCAAGGGCTTGACTAATCTCTTTGACGAGTTGTAGCTTGGTGCTGAGAATGGCAAGACTCACTGATGATGTTAGCGAAACGTCTGGGAATGTTTCAAGGTCGTAGTCCAACTCTGGAGATTATTTTGCGTTCCTTTATGTCTTCCTGCCAATATAACCAAGTTTCGAAGACAAGGTCAAACAACTACAATACCTCGACAGGAGACTGTGACCAAAATAGAGGCCACAACATCGCCTCCTTATCTACTTATACCTTTAATCCTGCAATGCTATCGCTTGTGATTGCGTTCCATTGCACACGTATTGTGTGAATGCATTACTCTCGAAATAAGTGTGATGTGAGTGTCAAAACCATATTCGAGCCTAATCAAGCCTCTTGCTTGGTGATATTTCTCGTTCCTCTCTCGCTCTCTAATCCTCTCCAACATCCACAAGTAGTTTCCACTTAACTTCTTACACTCACTTCTATTAGGAGTGTTGGCTGCCTTGTTTATTTTTATCGCCTCCCTAATCTTTCGCTTACTGGTATAGTCCCCATATTCGGCTAAGAATTTGACCTTAGACCAATCTATCTGGCGTCCCATGCGAGTCATGTGTTCGGCCAATTTCGATTTTTGGACTCAAATACCCGTTTTGTGTTCTTTTGTATGGGCCTACAGGTCTCTTCTACATAGCTGCTACCGCATGAAGAGAGCATCTTGTAACAGCCCGATCTGGAGATAGGGCCAAAATATTATCGAAAAGACGGCAAAACCGACGAAAGTTTTATTTTCTCTTTGTAAATGGTCCTGATATCCAAATTGCGCGATGGCAGCTTGAGGATTCTGGTAGAGTAGTCTAACTTTTTATCTGATCCTATTTAGCAATATCCTAAAATGATTGTCAATCAGCCCTCGTGGATAATTATTATCAACCAGAATTCTTATTCGAAGGTATGAAGACCAAGATGGTGTGGCCTTTTGTGTGGTCGCAGTCTCCTTTCGTTGTAT